TTTGTGGGTTTGTTATGTGGTCTCGAAGGCTCATGTTCAGCATTGCACGTTCCATGGCTCGTTGCGTAACTCTGAGTTTATTCGCAGATTTTTGCGTGAGTGTTAAAGTCTCCGCTTTATAAGTTTGTACAGGTAAAACACATTGGTCATAAACCTTTTGCTTGAGACACATGGGATTTGAACTTTTTAGAATATGGCTTAATTTGCCAAATGCTGCCCAAGTTAGGCCTATTCGCCTCTGTATTTCATGTGTTTAATTGTCTCTGCTTATTTTGATTTCGTGTCCCAGATATTTGTAAGTGTCTGTTTGTTGTATGTTATTATTGTCAATAGTTATATTTCCACTCATTACGAGATTTGTCATAAGCTTAGTTTTCCCAAAGTTTATCTTTAATCCTGCTCTTTCAGACAGACTTTTAAGCGAATGCATCATAGAAACTGTATCTTGTAAATTATCTGCGATTAATACATCATCTGCAAATCTTAGGTGGTTTAATCTTTCTCCATCTATATTGATGCCCATATCTTGCCATTGAGTGCTCGTAAATATTGACTCTAGAGCTGCCGTGAACAATTTTGGTGAAATATTGTCTCCTTGTCTAACTCCTCGACCTAAGCTGAATTTTTCTGTGTCTTCGTGTAGTCGTATACTTGATGTAGCGTTCTCGTAGATGTTTTTGATTAGTGTCGTGTACCTGTAATCTATTCGGCTTTGATTTAGGGCTTCCAGTATTGTTTCAAACTCTACAGAATCAAAAGCCTTCTCGTAATCGACAAATGCAAGAACCAGTGGTATGTTGTACTCGATGCACTTTTCTATTAAGATCTTTATGTTATGCAAATGGTCATTTGTGCCATATCCTTCCCTGAAGCCTACCTGTTCTTTGGGCTGATAGAAATCAAGTTTAGGTGTTAGCCTCTTTGTTAAGATTTTCATAAAGAGTTTGTACATATGTGTCAAGGGGCTGATGGGCCCTTACACTTTACATAAATAATTGTGCAATAATGGCCCCTTACATAAATAAAAATATAGTAAACGTATAACTAAAGAAAAGTTATTAAGAAGTAATTTGGCTGAAGTCATAGGAACAAATAACACAGGCCAACGATGATTTTTATAAAATTACATCTATCTTATCTATTTTAGTGTGCTAAAATTAGACTCCGAAAATCATGTTCAAAATACTGTATTACCCACCATTCTTTTACAAAATTTAAAATTGCATAATTACATTTTATTTTGCTTAACGAGCAGAGTAATCTAATGTCACCTGGTTGGTAGGACTGTTAATTAATTGTATAACACTCCTTGTTCTTCTTTCTCTTTAAGAACAGCTGTACAGTTCCTTTATTCTAATAAACATAACCTCACTTTTCAGTGTTTGCCTCATACGCTTATAAGTTTGGCTAGTCGCGGTTGTAAAAACTTATCAAAAACATTTTGTTACATATGTGGTGATTTTGGTATTAAAAAACATCAGAGAAACATTACTGACTTTGTAAAAAAGGTGAATTTTGCATATTTTGGTGTGAAAGTTGGTAACCAACACAAAGGTTGAGCTCCTCACAATGTATGTTGTGTTTGTTTAGGAAAGAAAAAAGTCTTTCAAGTTTTGCAGTGCCTATGGTATAGAGAAAGCAAAAAAATCATTCAAATGATTAATATTTTTGTACTGTCAATGTTTCTGCATATAACTCCAAAAATAAGAAAGTGATTGTTTATCCTAAATCGGCTATCTGTTCCGAAGAGCATAAACCCAACCTACGAGTCTTTGTGCCTCCTTTACGTATTGATGACATTTTAAATACTAGCGAATCAGAATCTGATGAAAGTGGTCCAGGAAGTGATGGTGGATTTCAGTGTCCTTCAGAAAATTTACAACCACAGTTGTTTACATAAGCTGAGTTAGATACCTGGGTTTAACAAAGGAAAAAATTGGAATTAATTGGCTCAAGATTAAAAAAAACGAATTTAGTGTTGCCTAGTACAGCTATTTACAAGTACAGGTACAGAAATCAACAGTTTGCTCAGTTTTTTAGATATGAAGGGGATTTGGTCTACTATCATGATATTGGTGGTCTAAGGAGTGAGTTTGTTATTAAGTAGAATAAGGATGAGTGGAGGCTTTTTATAGACTCTTCAAAAACAAGTTTAAAAGTTGTACACAATGGGCACCTATGCTTCACTTCCTATTGCTCATTTAGTCCATATGAAAGAGACATATAAATATCTTGTCACAATTCTATAGAAACACAGCTCAGATCTGTGAAGATTTAAAAGTTGTTTGCATGCTACTTGGTCAACAAAAAAAATTTACAAAGTTTCCATGTTTTAACAAAAAGAGAAATCAAACGATTTCGACCTGGCGAAATCGTATTCAAATTTTGACCACCGTGCTTTCCAAAACTTGCAAAGCAAACAGCTTAATAAATTTATTGTCGCCTAAATTTATATTACGCCTAACTTATATTTAATTTCCATGTTTTATTGGACATGTTTACATTTATTCCATGTTATATGGACAAACTATGGAACATATTGACGACAATGGGTGTACCTAAACACTTGACTCACCTTATTAGCAAACTGTATCAAGATAACCTGGCATATATTTGAATGGACGGATATCTGTCTGACAAATGCACTTTGGAGAAGGGAGTACGCCAAGGATGCGTTTTATCTCCTTATTATTTAACATCTATTCGGAGTTCATAATGCGCAGAGTTTTGGATGGTTGCCGTACAAATATCTCGGTTCTGGATGAAATTAAACCGCATCAGCGTCTCTCCAGTACTGTTTACTCTAGAATTTTAAAGTTCTTTGGCCATATCCATCGAAGTGATCACAAAATGGAGCGGTTGGTGGTCCAAGGAAGGCCTCAGACTCAACGCCAATGCGGAAGATCTCCACAGCGAAGGGCGGACATTACTAAAAAGCTTCTCAATAAACAGTATACTGAAGCAATACATATAACTGACGACCGCGACCAGTGGAGAAATATTATCAATCAAACTGTCCGAGCTGCTGAAGCCCAATTATGAACCACAACACATCTACTAAGATGTTAATGACTGTCATGATGAAGATGATTTGTGAATGGGACAGAAGATTAAGAGATAAACAATAGTCCACATAATAATGTCCTATATGAAATGTTTTAACACATTGCCAGCAGAATATTTTGTACAAAATTTTAGTAGATCCAAAAAAGATCCTCCTTCTACCTCTACACATCAAGTTAGGCGTAATGAAACAGTTTGTCAAGTCCCTGCTGAAAGATGGAGAATGTTTTACGTACTTGAAGGAAAGTTTTCCCATCTATCACAAGCCATATTAAAAGAAGGTATTTTTGTTAGGCTAGTCATTCTTAAAATGATGTTCAACTCTACCTTTGAAACCAAGATGACAACTAAGAACAAAGAAGCTTGGATTGCGTTCAAAAAAGTTGTAAGCAGGTTTTTATGTAATATGAAAGACATTAACTATGAGCTTATTATTAGCTATGTAGCTAATTTATTAGATCAGTTTAAAGATTTGGAATGTCTAATTGAGACTGAAAATCCACTTTTTGCATAACCATCTTGACTTTTCCTGAAAATCTGGGTGATATCAGTGACTAACAAGGCAAACGATTCCAGTAGGATATTAAGGTGATAGAAGAACGACAGAATGCTTCCAGTACAGAACAAATTCCTTAATAAGCCACACACTTAAGATATTTCTCAAAATAATACATGGAAGATTATACAAAAAAATAGAAGAAGATATAAATGATACCCAGTTTGGATTTAGAGGAGGACTAGGAACGAAAGAGGCTCTGTTTGCCTTTTACTTTCTAGCGCAAAGACGACTAGATATGAACCAGGATCTCTATGTCTGCTTTATAGATTATCAAAAGGCTTTTGATAGAGTACGACATTAGAAACTCGTAAAACTGTTAAAAGAAAGGAATAAGTATGGATAGTCGAGATATACAGGTTATTGTCAATCTGTACTGGAATCAAAAAGCAAAAGTTAGAATAGAAAATGTGGTTACAGAAACTATAGAAATCAAAAGAGTTAGACAGGGTTGCGTGCTGTCCTCATTGTTATTCAATCTGTACAGCGAAGCTATTTTTATGGAAGCAATATCAGAGAAACAAGAGGGTATATCAATAAACGGAAAATTCTTGAATAACATAAGATTCGCAGACGACACCGCTGTTGCCATACTTGTTGTATGGAATGCAAAGCTAGACACTAAAAGTTGATAATATAAAGAAGTTGGAATCATTTGAGATGTGGTGCTATAGATGGATTTTGAAAATACCATGGACCCAACGAGTTACAAATGCAGAAGTATTAAGAAAGCTGCAAAAGGATTGCGAGGTCATAAAGCACATCAAAACAAGAAAGCGGGAATATTTAGGCCACATTGCTAGATGTGCGAAATATGAGATATTGAGGCTCATAATCGAATGAATTCGAATGAAATGAAGCGTTTCGTGATATGAGAAATGAGGACTGTTACACTCAAACCTATACATAATTTGAATGACGCTCTACACACAAAATCAAGTGCGATTGGATTGGTCAGGATTATACTGACCTGCCAACGGCTAGACGCTAGTCTTTATCGGGAACAACAGAGTGCCTCGCATAGGAGAAAAAGTTACTTAAGAAGTTTTACAGAAAAAAGAGAAAGAAAAAACAAAAACATTGACTCCTGAATTTATTGTACAGAAATATACTATTACAGGAAAAGAATTAGATGAAAGGTATTATTCTAATAATGTATCATTTTAATGTATTTCGGTATTTTGACTTTTCAAATTTTTATAATGTAGAATAAAACTGTGGATAATACATAAACACTAATTTCAGACACTTTTTAGCGCCAAAAAATCATAGGATTCACATAAATTTGTAAGAAAAATTGTATAAATCTTTTTGTTGGCCTGCGTAATTTAAAAAATCTAATAAAAATATGTTATTGGTCTAAACTAAAATTAGCACTTACCTTCCCTAATCCCGGCAATACCCTGACTTGTCGAGAAGGCACACCCTGGGGAAAGGAAAAGAAAGGATAAAAAATTGTTTGGATAGTTAGTACTATACAAAAACAAGGTAAAAAAAAATCAAAACAAACCCACTCAAGTTAATGATTGTATCCTCTGGACGAAGATCAAAAAAATTTCCGAGTATCAGCAATTTAAATTTATAATTTTTGAAAAAAAATAGACACATACATTGTTAGTAAAAGGAAGAGGATATAGGTGGAATGAAAGAATAGAAACCTGGAAAGTAAAATAAAAAATAAAACCAGTCATTGTTTTACAGTATATTGTAAGGTTGATCACAATAAATATATCATATAATCTTCTCAATAACATAAAATAGATATATAAAAGATTAGTTTCTAAAAATTACATTGTCAAAAACATTTTTTTGTGGTATAGCATTCGAAAAATAAATTTTATATAGTTCCAAAAATTATAATATAACTACTAAAATCTACTATTAATATTCTAAAATCAGTGCGAGTATGGTGTGTTTGTTAGTAAAAGTTTATTAAATAGGTATATATAAATAATTGTTTTGGTCAAAATAAGATCCAAAAAAATAATAAAATGGATACTAACAACGTTTTGAAATATTTTGTTTTCGTCACTCAACCATTTTACCAAAAAAGATTGTTAGTACAAAAATATTATTTTTCCAGTTGTATCATAAATTTCTATAAAATATTTATCAACATACCCTTGTCAATATGTCAATAAGGAATTTTATGTATCAGTATAGTACGATTTCTATCTAATCTCAAAGAGAGACTGCTTCCTTTCCTTCAACTTCATTTTGTGTTATTATTTGATTTACATATTCTTCTTCTTTTTAATTCTATGCATTCTGTTTCTCCTGTTAGCATTATAACTCTGGTCTTATTGTTCATGTTAATTTCATTAATTGTCCTTATTATCTGATGGTCTATTTGTTCAGACTGTAATAAATCTAAGATGTCATTTCGCTTCACCCTGTCAAAAGCAGTAAGGTAAGGTACTAAATGAAGTTACCTTTTTATTCGTATTTATTTCTCCTTTTTTGCTGTTAGTTCTGTATTTGATTGATTCCAAGGGATTTTTGATCTGCTTCTTCTCAAATTAGATTTTTAACATTTGTTTAACTCTTATATTATTTATAATTCAACCTACAATACTTATTTTAACCAAAATTAGTATAAAGTACTACATCTCAAACACAGTTTTGTTAATGCATGTACAAATAGATATCTAAATATTATAATATAAACCATATTGAAATTATCGGGAATATCCTTAATAATAATTATAATATTGCCTAATATATACACCCTGTATCAATAGTGTTTCTGGTCAATTATAAGGCGGGGTTATCTTGTAAAACTAACACAGGACATTTAGAAAATAAAAACAAACAATCCCGTTGACGTAAACTTACAGTACAATTAGAATATTTTTTAGTTTAAGGACTACAGTATGCTAAAAATATCTCCTAGAATCTATGTTGCTTTTACTAAGTTATCTATTGGTTTTCTTTCCTATTTAAAACACTAAGAATATTCCCGATTTTAAAAGAATATATTAAGGTTACAAGCAGAAACTCAAAAGGTCTTAGACACGGTAGGAGTAGTGTCTGTAGGTAGTGCCTCCGGGCAATCGGCCAGATGTAGTAGAGCTATAGCTGGAGCTGTAACCTCCAGGACCATCGCCTCTGGAGCGGCTGGACCGTTCCGAAGAATAGCTGTAACCACCAGGGCCTCCAGTGGAAGATCTGGAAACGCTCTCGGTGGTAGAATAAGAACGAGAGTGGGGATCGCCGTAACCGGAGCGATTAGAAGAGTCGGAAGAATAGGAGTAAGAATAGACTTGCTCTGCAGATTTGCGGGTACGCTCTGGGTAATCCGTCACCACGTAATGTCTTGGAGTCTGGGGAAAAAGAAGAAGAATGATAATGTGAGGAGAAAAGTGGTAGCAGGAGTAGTAGTTTTATAAAGTTAGTACAAGTTTGTCTTATTATATTATATCTATTAAACCACAGTTTATTATTTTAATAAACTTATATCCATAACAAATATTGTATTGATTTATGTTCTAACTATAGCTTTTTACTTGCATTTCTTAATGCAATATTTATTAAAAAGTTAAATTTCTTATTTTCTATAGAAAATTGACTTTTGATCAGTTAGTATTATCTTCGTTTGTGTCATCATTTGTGTTAACCTGGCATTACAATCCTCAAACAGTGCTCTATACCTCAGTATATGGCGAATAATTAAATTATTTTTTCCTTCGACCGTTCATTTGGGATCAATTTTAACACCCTCAAAATTATTGATTAGTGACCCCTATTAATGAATGATTTTCTATTAATGAATAATTTCATTATAGGCAACACAACATACATTGCTTGCATAAATTAATTAAATGCTCTGTGGCGTTTGCAGTGGCGTAGGCAAACACCTGTGGTGTAGGCAACCAAACATATACCTATTTATATTCCCACTAAAAAATTTTAAATGAAGTAGCCGCAGAATTAACAGAAAACTAACCTACTTTGGCCACATTATCCGTAATAATACCGACTTCCCGACTTTTACAGTTAATTATACTGGGGAATATTATGGGCAGAAGAGCCCCTCACGCTTCACGCTGAGACAGCTTCTAGAAAAGGGATAGGAGTATAACAGACCCATACACAATATTTTCATAGCCTTTAGACAGGCATATGATAGCGTAGAAAGAAGCCAAGTATGGAATGCCATAGCGAAGTTCTCAATATCAAAGAAACTCATTCGGATGACCAAAGTATGTATGAAGGATCTAATATCTAAAGTACGTGTAAATAATAAACTGTCTGGCAACTTTGAAATCAACAGTGGACTCAAACAGGGTGATGATCTCCACTACTTTTTAACCTTGTATTAGAGAAAGCCATGAGGTCGGCTGAAATAAAAACAGAATTGCTATCGGCTCAAGGTCCCACGCTGTTACTCACATATACAGATGACCTAGATCTGGTTGGAGACTCCATCCTATCCACGAAAGACATTTTTAACAAGGTGGAAGGAGCAACAAGTGAAGTGAGGCTGAAGATTAATGAAGAGAAGATGAAATATATGTGTATAAATAGAACGACACGAAGAGACAGAATAGGACAAAATGTGATGGTCAACACCTTTAATTTCGAAATAATACAACGTTTAAAGTACCTGGAGGTCGTAATCATAGCTGACAACGATGTTACTGAAAAAATAAAAAACAGAATCTCTGTCTAGGTTGATGAAAGACCGAACAAATTGGAAAAAAGTTGTGCAGTCACCCAAGCCCCACCCAGGGTTGTAGCGCTATGTGATGATGATGTTGAAGAGAGTCCCTCGACGTAAGGGTATGTTCTGCTCGATCAATGTTGTGGAGAGACGAGAGATCAAGACGATGGACTGGCCTGTCACCAACGGATCTTTTCTGAACTGCTGTGAATTGAATATAATAGGTCAAAAGGGTCCAACATCATAAAAAGGTAGGGATCTTTAGAAAAAGATCGAATGTAAAGGACAAACATAAAGGACAAGCAGCTTTATTAAAATAAAGACGGCAATAACGAAGTTCTTGTTAATAGGATATGAAACATAGAAATAGAAAACTGAAGCCTTAACAAAGCAAATAACAGCTAATATCCCAAAGACTTCTGCGGAAACGGCTTACGTGAGGCAATAAGAAACATAAATAAGTAGAGAAGGCGTATAATCGGGCTCCTGTTAAAATGAGCTGAAAAACGTATGTAAATTGATTGTAATGCTATATTTTTCCTATGAATACCTCCTGCAAGTTGAGTTTTTTAATATACCTTCCAAAATTCTTAGAATCTAACGAAAATGCTCACTGAACTAGTTAAAATTGAATAAACTATTATATTTTGATGAACTTTATATCTATATACAATATTACTACAATTTAACCAAAGAATATAGACGCTTATAGCAGTCTATAGAAGCGTCTATATTCTTTGATTTAACTATTATTTTTTGGCTAGCGAATAAACCATAAACCCAAAATCTGTATATTCTAGTTGTTACATTTACCTACTTAAAACCGTTTTTATTTATAAAAGCATGATCAAAACAAAGCATTTCATGTATATTATTTTAAATACTATAAAAACAGTCATTAATTAGCCCCACAAAAACAAAATTTTCTATTGTTTGGAATGTTTTCCTGCTTATTGCGACTTGGCAAATTCCTGAAGCAGTGAAATTCAAAACTACATCGAATCCCAAAATAAATCTACGTTTGCTTTTTCAGAATATCAAAAATAAACTGGTTTTTTCAGCTCATATTTAAAACTGGGTCGTTGCCAGAGGTATTAGAGTGCGTGGCTGAAGATGCATAACTTTTATTTGAATTGAGTGATCTACGAGGTGTTATACAATATAAGTGGCATCTCATAATTTTAAATTAAATCATTGCAATAAAATACAGAAAGGGTCACTGAAAATAGTACATATACTATGATATTTGGGAATATTTTCATTAGAGATATACTTCTATGGAGGATTCGGGTGTCTATGATTTTTTCTCATTCTGTTTCGCGGAAATTATCGGAAGTTGTCAAATTTTTTCCATTCCATTTAAAAGTCTACATAAGAATGAATCTGGTAAAATTTCGTAAGTATTTATTTGAATATTTTTAGCATCCATGCTAAAACGGAAGAAGAAGAGGATGATAATAAAGACGTGTTGTATGTGGGACTAGACCGAGAGTACGATGGCTCAAAAAATGACATCAAAATAGTAGCAGGAGACTTTAATACCAAAGTCGGAATAGAGAATATATTTCGCCCTCTATCGGAAAAGAGAACCTACACATAGAATCTAATGATAATGGTCTCAGAATCATAAACTTTGCGATGTCTAAGAACATGGTTTAGCTGGAACGCGATTTCCCCATAAAGATATACATCAGGGAACTTGGAAATCTCCTGATAATAAAACGATTAACCAAATAAATCATACAATGATCGATGCAAGACAC